TTTAGATTTAACATTTAACATTTAGATTTATATTTAGCATTTAGATTTAACATATAGATTTAGATTTATATTTAGATTTAACATTTATATTTAGCATTTATATTTATATTTAATATTTAGATTTAACCTTTAGATTTAGATTTAGCATTTAGATTTAGATTTAGATTTAGCATTTAGATTTAACATTTAGATTTAGATTTAATATTTAGATTTAACATTTAACATTTAAGTGCCACATTTAATATTTAGATTTAACTATTTAATATATTTCTAAGTTAACAAATATTGCTGTAAATGTGGTAAAAGGTGACGTTAAAAAATTCACAATACTTTTTTAAACATTGTTTGAAGCTAAATGTGGCAAAATGTTGATGTTATTTTCAGCGTGAGCCACTTTATAAACGGCACCCCATAAAGGTCCATATAATTTCCTGCTGAAGTGTTTTTTTCTCCAACCTACAGCTCGAAACACAAAGATACCCAGTTTGATATCGTAGAAGACAAAGAAAAGCAGCCAGTATTTTTTAGAACCAGAAATATTTTTGTCAATTTTACTTTTGAAGTTAATTAACTGTTGTTTGACAAATTGATTAATCCACTAATGGTTTCATCTTTCGGTCCTTTTACAGATTTTGAGTGTTGCCTGAGACAGTGCTGCACTTTTTCTTTATGGTTTCAGCCACTGTAATATATGTTTATCTGTACTGTGGATTCAAGCTGACAGGAGCGGCATGTGTCAGACTGATCTGACATCACTTTGCTCCTCGCACAGCTCTCGATGACTTCAACCTGAGCCCAGGTTTAATCTTACTGAATAACTGGAAGCAGCTGTGTGGCTGTGCAGTGCCGATGATTCACACCTGATGGCACCAACACAGAGTATTTAGTTCATTTAATTCTGCAAAAGAACAACAGCACATGTTGTAAAACCTACCAAAATAAAAATTAAGAAAAGCTACAGTCAGTTCTTGGTGGGACACACTGGACACAAAATTCTGATTGTACAAGAAAAGGTGAATTTGATAGGCATGCAGACATCTGTAGGTTCTCCATTGTTCAGCTTGTGGAGTCGACACAGACGGACTTTGTTTTGTTGTGACCTCGCCATCCTGTGCATTTATTTACATGTTGTTTTCTTTTTATCAGTTTGTGCTTCTTTTTGATCTCTCAAGAAGAAAACGTATCTTTTGCCTCCTGATTCATGATGATGAATGTTTATGATCACACAGTCTTTTATTTGACTTTGCTCCTCCAATGATTGACGTTTATTGCTGTTACAGAGACGTGGTCGAGTCACAACAACCGCCCATTTGATTCATTGATCCTTCCAGCCTCAGCAGAGTCGTAGTTCAGCGCTCTGCTGGCAGCCTCTCATCGTTTGGTTGTATTTAAACTCAGATCGTCTTTGCCCTTGGTTGTACTTTAGTTTCATCGTCGAGAGTCACTCAGTTGGAAAGAAGGACGCAAATTTATTTATACGGGACATTTCAGCAACAGGGTCAATAAAAGTCATTTATACACAAAGCACAAGATAAATACATGAAGCGACATTTAATTACAAATAAAATAGTAATTAATGGAAGGTTTTGACTTGAAGGAATGTTCCAGAGAGCAGGTTGACACATCTGAGAGCTGCTTTCAAAAACATGCTTGATTCCTTCTCCAATATACGGCCACATAGGTCATAAAAATTACAACCCATATTTATGTTTTTTGTCAGTAGCAACCTTTGGTGGCTGTAGCAGTTATGACGGAGGCAGAGGAAAAAGTTAGACGAAGTTGTGTAAAGGGAGTCCCCGAGTCGGAAAGGATTTGAAGTTGAAGGTCAAACAAGCTCAGGACTTTCATCGAGGATGCCACGATTCCTGTCCACTGTGAAATGTAAAGGTCAATCTAAGATATGCCACATGATGAACATGAGCTATACTTGGATTTCCATCTCAATGTAGTGCAAATTTTAACCGAATTTAGAGAAAAGCATTGAAAGAAAATGCAAATTTAAGCACTGTTCTTTTCCATCACTATTTTTTATGCCTCCACTCCAGCGATAGCCATGGCTGGAGGAATTATTTTTCCGGGTTATGCGTACGCACGCACATCTGTCCCATCCTTGTGAACATGATATCTCAAGAACACCTCAAGGAATCTTCTTCAATTTTGCACAAATGTCCACTTGGACTCAATAAGGAACTGATTAGATTTTGGTGGTCAAGAGTCCAAGGTCAAGGTCACTGTGACCTTGTCTGTATCATTTCTGTGAACGTGGTATCTTGAGAACAGCTTGAGGGAATTTCCTCAAATTTGGCACAAACATTCACTGGGACTCAACAATGAACTAATTCGATTTTGCCGGTCAGAGGTCAAGATCACTGTGACCTTGCCTCTGTCTCATTCTCATTAACACAATATCTCAAGAACACCTGAAGGGAATTTCTTTAAATTTGACACAAACGTCCACTTGGACTGAAGAATAAACTGATGAGAATTTTGTGGTTGAAGGTCAAAGGTCAGTGTGACCTCACAAAATCTCTTTTTGGCCATAACTGAGGAATTCATACACTAATTATTACAAAACTAAAGACAAATGTCTAACAGGATAATATAATGAAGGTCAAAAGGTCAAAGGTCAGCTCGACTGTGACATCATCATGTTTTAATGTCATATCTCAGGAACAGAAGGGGAGACATTTGGTCAGGTACTGAATTGGTGACTCTCATCTTGAAACTGCTGATTGTATAGATCTTCTGTGTGTGAAGCATCCATGTTTTCACTGACATGGATGGAGACTGTCAGAGACACGGGACTGGTGGGCGGAGTCATACAACAGTGGTAATTTTAGTTTTGTTTTTTTTTTTCTTTTTTTATTTTGCACATGGTGTCTTCTTTCGTAGCTAAAAGGAATCTGAAGTGTTTCTCTGTACCAGGAGCACACAGGATGTGACGAGACAGAGAACGCTGTCTCTCTTGTAAATGTCTTTTGCTCTTGATTCGTCCCTCCTTCACTCCATATTCAGATGAGCTCCGTCCCTTTTGTTTCTGGACTTCTGAATAACTCACCCTTACATCTGAAGTTGTTTCAGCAGCAGCCGTGTCAAATGAACACAAAAGATCGATCAATAAAAACTATTAGTTTAGGTGTGGAGACAATCAGGGAGTGAAAATAAGACATCGACTATTTGCAAAAAGTTGCATCTTCTGTGACAAAATAAACATGTGGATAACAATCAAACTCTGTTAAATACATTTTAACTTAGAAACCTTTCCAGTCCTCACAGACAACACTGTGGAGCAGCAGAACTGACTGAGAGAAGTGAATCTGTACAGATTCAGTTGGTGTTAAAATAGTTTTGATTTGATGATTTTTCCCACTGTGTGGCTTTTCATCAGCAGGACAGGAGTCTTATGTGTTCTGTTTCTGCATCTTCTCACATTAACTCTGTCCTGTTCACATTTTCTCTCTTCACCTTTTGAAAAAATTATGCTGTATCACATGTCCCGAGCTGATCCTACGGATCAATATTGGCCCTGGATGTAAAATAATGCAGAATAAAATCTGATCCTCTCTTTTTGATGGGTTCAGGCAATATGATAATTTTGTGTTTCGTCAACCTGGTCTCACTCCGAAGTTGTCGAATACCAGCGCTTGGTCAGTGATGTCCCACGACACACACCAATGAAAACCTTTCATGTCCCATGATACACAGCTGGTCACTGTTATTGTTTAACGTCGCCCAGCGCCATCAGGTGGACACGCGGTGGAACAACAACTAAAGTTAAGGGGGCAGAAGTCTGAGTAGGGCTGATGGGAGGCGTTGTGGACGGATCCAACAACCACCGACTTTCATCCAGGAGGCCGGTTTTTGCTTCCTGTAAGACTGTAAAGCCAAACCCTGTTCTTTTTTTCCTAAACCCAACCACGTGGTTGTTGTTGAAGGAAAAAAACATCAATACAGATGTAGTGCTTTTATTTTGAAAGAGACTGTATGCAAACTGTACATTTCCTGTGAAAATGTGAAGATTGTCTCACCTGACATTCTCACCTGCACCCCCCCAACAGGGAACAGCTGATGAGCTCAGATAACCTGAAGGAGCTCACAGTGGAAACGCTGTTTGTGATGAAAGGAGCCACTTGAGGTGACAAGGATGCCTCCCTGTCGACTTCCTGTCTGGGCACATTTAACTTAAAGAAGACCCGAGGCAAACACAGAACACGTCAGAGGGATTATATATCCCATCTGGCCTGACCTCAGGATCCCCCAGGAGGAGCTGGAGGACACGACTGAAGAGAGAAACATCTGGAGCCTGTTGCCGCTGTGAGCGAGAACTCAATAAGATGTAAAAAATGCGTGGATTGATCTCTAAAGCTTCTCACAGACTGTGAGATTTTACTTATCTTGTAACTTGAGCGCAGCTACGCTGTTCGTCATGGATCTGATAAAGCTGGGTACGACATCAAGTTTGATGTCTGCAGACTGTACGATGGCAGCGCCTACTGAATCACAGGTTACGACGTACGATGCAACAGCTTCACATACTGAATGCGCAAGGATGCTGCATAGGTTATTACTTCTCCAACTGTGCAGCACAACAGAGAGGGTCACAATCATAACATAAATACAGTTATTACTATCATAAATAAATTAATCAAATAAATAAATAATAAAATAAATTAACATTTTCAAAAAAGATTCAGAAAAAAATGTTGATAAGATGTCAGATTTTTTTAATGTAATGTCCCAAAACATTTTAATGAAATATCCAAAAAATGTCCAAAAAATGTTAATGAAATGTCTGAATGAATGTTGATAAAATGTCTGGGGAAAAAAATATTAAATAGTTAAAAAAAAAAAAAAGTCAGAAAACGATGTGGATAAAATGTCAAAAAATATGTAGCAACCTGTGGTGATGTCAGTGATTTCCATTATCTTGCTACAGTATGCTGTTATTTATACATCGCCAAGCTCGTTTGCTCTTCTGCCAGTTCGTTCACTGAAGCATCTGCCTGTCAACGCAGCTCTGGACTGTAGTGACAGCAGCCAATGCTTTACTTTTTTGGGGAACACTCTTAAAGTAGGCAATTGTAAATGCAGTTGTAAAGGCAGATACTGCATGGTGGTGTGAACGCACAATTTATCATATGATATCCTACAACAATGCATACAAAACTGTTGAATCCTACGAATCAGCACCCCACAAATGTCATTACGTCTTTAAAGTGAAGTTACACAATTAACGTAAAGTAATTGTGGTTAGGTGTAGGAAAGGAAACATGGTGACCTTAAAATGACAAGTGATCACACAGTTTCAAACTCCTGTCTCTTGGGGAAAGTCTGTGGTTTTGTGACCCATCCACCTGCTTCTTCAGCGCATTGGTCACGTGATCATAGCCTTTCAAAATACATGGGTCATGCATGGGAAACATGGTAAGGATGTACCTTCGAAAGCAGTAGCGTGCGGTGGTGTTTCAGTCAGGGCCAGCACCCAAATCCAACTCCCCCCCCCACCCCAAAAGAAAGTATTGTATGCCGATACAGCCAACAGAGCAGCCGCACACATATAGGCCTGTGTCCTACAATACATACACATTGCGAATCCAATGTAAGGCCACTATTATGCAACAGTACTTAATCAACAGCAACATGACAGCTGATCAACATCCGCAACGCATCAAGACACCACTGTGCAGCATCACAATCAGATCATCTTCCCTAGGTCACTGCCCACTTTACAATGCACATACCACGTGACACAACATCAAAAACAGCACATACTGCCCAACTGCTCTGCACCCTTAGAGGAAACTTCTAAATCACTTCAAAAATAAAATCAATTTCTATAACAGACACAAACATGCTCCAAAAAGGGTTCTAAATTTACTTCACAAAGAGAGAGAGAGAGAGAGAGAGAGAGAGAGAGAGGGAGAGAGAGATATTAGCCCAACAGCAGTGCCAATCTGGTCCAGAGGAAGTAAAAAAAACTAGCACTCACCGATTACTTGTAGATGAAATCCATCCTACGATCCTTCATGATGAATTGCTCTATGACGTCCTTGTGCAGTTGTCCCCTCTGCTTGAGATCAACCAGTAGCTCCTTCTCTATGGAGAGAGATGCCAGCGCAGAGTCGCGTTTGTCCCGTTGTTGTCCATGCATATGTTTTGATGCGTTTGAGAGCGGAAAAAGAGCGCTCAATGGAGGCCGTGGACACTGGTATTGTTAGGATCAAGCATGTGAGGGCATATAGTTGTGACATACTGACTGCAAGCCCCGTGGTCATCAGAAAAGTCAGTAGATCAGTTGGGCTCTTCCCCTGGAAGTTTGTCATGCAGTACATCACTTTGAGCTCAGCACTGAGTACGGAGAGGTCAAACTGAGCTCCATAGCTCTCCTCGAGGCTCTTCAGCTCTGCTTCTGGGAATGTCTGCTTATATTGTGGAAACTTCTGTGCATCCAGCAGTCCAACAAAAAGCAGTCGTTTGTGATGTGCAAACCGATTATTGATTTGCGTGAGGGTGCTGTCAATTACAGCTGCGTGTAGCTCTCTGCAATGCGCGCGTGGATTGGGTTTTCCTCTAGCTGCGATTGGCTGCTCCGCTGCCTCCACTGTTGCCTTAAAGATGCCATCAAATTTTCCCCGCTCACCTTCAAGGCTCTGACAAAACTCTGCAATCCTTGCCAGAGAGAACTGCACATCCAGGATCTTACTTTGAAGGATCCAAAAGAGAACATCTGCAAAGTCAAAAATGCGAACAAAAGCAAAAAGGAAAAAGCAAAAGTCAAATGACTTCAGCTGTGATAAGTGTCCTGATGCGCAATGCAGTGTTTCACGATCAAAAACCTCAGCATGGTCCAGTATGTGCTGGAACAGCTCGACCAGCTCTGCTCTATTCTCATGCACTGTGCACACCAACCTTGAGTTGAAGTTCCACCTGACATTAGAGACCCGCGGGAGCCTTCTGGCGCAAAAATCATCCAGTAATTTCGTCCATTTGGGAGAATGTGTAAAAAATGCTGACAATCCCGCCAGATTTGCAAAAAAGATCTTGCATTCTTTGATATTTGAAGAATATTTGAATATTTTTCACTCTCTCATTGTGCAGGCTTGTTTCCCATCTCCTCTGCTCGTCAAGCTGCAAATCAACCCTGGCCTCACCAAACGTTTTCAAATGTACCACATTCATGATGTGATGCTCCGAGACCTGATGTTTGACAGCTGCCCTGGTGAAGATGTTAAGGCTGCTAAAACCACTGGTATTCCATGTACCTGGGCTTGTACTGAAGAGCAGACATGGCCAGCAGAACAGCTTATTGTGCTCCGAGCTAGCTGTCAACCACTCATACCGCTGGTAGTTTCCCGCAGTAAAATGCCGCACAAAGCCTTTGTTGCAATTAGTGAGTGTGCCCATTTTAGGCGTTGGTCTTCCTCTACCAATTATTTCGTTTTTTTCTGCAAACGGGCGCCTTGAAAAAAGCACCCGAAGCAGGTCCCCAATCATATCTATCGATCTTGCTGTTAAATCAACCGCCATCACCTTTCTGGAATAACAGACAGTGTATCATCACGCACCTGCCCATGGGCCAATCAGCCAAGCTCATTTGAATGACGACGCCCAGGACAGCAATAGAAACTCTGCTGGTCTTAGGGCATTCTGTCAATAACACATCAAAATTTGATTGGCTGATGATACGGCCACTCAACGTTACGCACCCAATAGCAGCGTCCGGCTGGATCAGAGGCTAACAATGCAACTACTGCTGGCTCCAGCAGAGGAAAGGAGCTGTGATGCGTTTATAGGACATAGGAGATTTGAGCTCCACAAAATATAACCATTCGTTTTCTGGATAAAGTTGCATACTGAGCAAGTAATTGACTCCAGATACATTTGAGAATGACCTTTTAATTATGGAAAAAACAGAAAAAAACCCATTTTTGACAGGGCTAGCAGTGCTAGCCTTGCTGCCCCTGACTGCACACCACTGTTCAAAAGACTCAAAGGTTACATGCTTCAGAACAAGTGTCCCAAGTCCCAGAGGAAAGTCCATGGTTTTGTGACCCATCCACCACCCCAACTAGACCTTAGATTCTCTGCCCGAGCCTGAACCCGACCTGAACCCTACTATCCTCGGGCTTGGACGGGTCGGGTTCCTCATAATAGACCTAGGCTATGGAACCAACTACTCACATGTGAGTTGTCGACGATGACAACGTGTGTCTGCTTCATCGAGTGTACCAAGTACAGCATGATGCTGGTATATGACAACAAAAAGACGGGGACCTCGACACTTAAGAGGCACATGACGAAGGCTTGCCATGGGAAGAAAGACAAGAGTCAGCCTCCAATGTCCACGTTCCAGCCTGTGGCCCTTTGCTGCATGTCACTCCCTCTCTCTCTCCCCCTTTCACACTTGTCTGTCCTGTCCATTAAAGGCTAAAAAATGCCCCAAAAAATATCTTTAATAAAAAAAGGGTTTAAACTGGGCTTGGACTCGTAATTACAGTTAAAGGGACGGGCCGGGCCAGGCTCGGACATAACATGCACGGGCTCGGGGCTGGGCTGGATTTTTTGGGCCCGATCTAAGCTCTAACCCCAACCTTTACTCTCGTCAGCCCATTGGTCACATGATCACAGCCTTTCAAAATATTATGCAGGAATGACCGGCTCATGATTACACTGGATATTAACAAATTTAGGTCCATTACTTTTTGTAGGAAAACGTGTGACCAGTTTATGACAACAACCTGAAAACAGCTTGAAGAACACAATAACTTGAGAATACAGTCGAATTACGAGTCATGAATTTATGAATAACAGTTTGCTTTGAGGACAAAAATGTATGTTATAACTAGATTGGGTCAGTTTAATTATCATTTGATTTGTTTTGGCTTCAAGAATAAGGATGTAGCAGTGGGGTTGTTGGTTTATTGACTTTATCTATTATTTATAAATTTCAATTTCATTATTGTTGTTTTCCTACCAATGTCCAGAACACTTTGTTGTACTAAGCCCAATAGTCCCAAAAGGTAGATATTTTTTTATCCACCTCTTAGGATGTCAGGGGCTTCGTAACCTTGTGAAAAAAACACAAAATGACTGATTCAGTCAAAAACATGCTGAAAATAGCAATAATTACCAGG